TAAGGAACGGTTGCTGGAATTGGGTATGTCTAGTTTAATGAAGAGAAGGACGAGGGGTGACATGATAGCAGTGTTCCAATATCTGAGGGGCTGCCACAAAGAAGAGGGAGTCAAGCTATTCTCCAAAGCACCTGAAGGCAGGACAAGAAGCAACGGATGGAAACTAATCAAAGAGAGAAACAACCTAGAACTAAGGAGAAATTTCCTGACAGTTAGAACAATTAATCCAGAAGTTGTGAATGCTCCAACACTGGAAGTTTTTAAGAAGAGACTAGACAGCCATTTGTCTGAAATGGTGTAGGGTTTCCTGCCTGAGCAGGGGGCTGGACTATCATCATCATCATTATTATCATTATTATCTAGAGCAACGGTTCTCAACCTGTGGGTCGCGACCCTTTTGGGGTCGAAGAACCCTTTCACAGGGGTCGCCTAAGACCATCGGAAAATACATATTTCCGATGGTCTTAGGAACCAAGACACTATAGACTTTCCTAGCCTGGAGAAGTAGGCAAAGGGAGGGGGAAGAGAAGGGAGGAATCAGGAAGAGTTATCCTCCTACATTCAAGGCATGACTGGGAGATACCAGACTTTAATCAACCTCCGCATTCACCTTGCGGCTGAAGCCTCTGTAGCCACAGTAGCGGCGAGGAGAGCCAAGCATTCCCTGGCAACTGCAGCCGTGATCCTCCTCTCTGTCATCAGCCATTTTTGTCTGACATAATGAAAAAAAGCTGCCGAGTATTGTTCTAAAATGGGGGGGGGAGTTTAGGAGGAAAAGAGGGGTGGAAATAATTCAATCAATCACATGACAGGATTTTTAACCATTTTTTATCGTGCAGCGAAATTGTATCTGTAGAAAAGCAGAGAGCCCCCCCTCCCTCAATATTCCCATGCCCATAGAGAAGCTAATAGATGGGACAATAGAAAAAGCATCTCAAGGTAAGTGTTTCCTCGTGGAAGGCATATTTTGACCAAAATTTGCTTCATCCTGCACCCCTTGGCCTGGGGAGATGGGGGAGGGTTTGCTGGTTTTTCACGTGGGTGCAATGTCTGAGAAGAGGATTGGGTGGTGGTGGAAGGGACTTTGTCGTCGGGGCTGCTTCCCCCAGGTTCTTTTGCTGGAGCTGCAAAAAAGCCGCACCAGCGGTGTCCCTCATCTTTCCGGTCTATCCCTCCTGAGGTCTTTAGGTGTGAGTGCCGCGCAAAAGGACGATACGCGGCGTGAAAGGTGCCGTGAGCAAATCTCGGGAGCAGGGGGGAAGTCCCGAAGATGAAACTATGTACAATGGCGCTTCGAACGAAACACAAAAGATGAACAGGAACAACAACCCATCAATTGTAACTTTGAGCTGACTCTCTTCGGAGACACTTGAAGTTAAGAGGGTTGTGTGAGTGCAGGCAGGAAGGAGGGACGCCGTGAGCGGGAAAGGAAGGGGCCTGGCTCTCGCTTCGCATTCTTCAGCTCCTTTCCTCCCACCGGAGTGAAAGGAGCATGGATGAAGGGCAGCCGCATGCGGGGTTTCTGCCGCTCAGGCTTAACTCTTGAGAGCAGATCCTTCTTCCTGCTTGGAGGAAAAAACTTCTCTGGCTTGGATGCAAAATGCCAGAGTAAGCTGTGGAGCAATTATGGAGCAAGCTGTGGAGAAATTATGGTGGTCCTTGTCAGTTAAATTGGAGTGGGGGCTAATTAATTGCCATCTTTCCCCTTGGAAGTTTTTATATGGGTTCATCTTTCCTTGCCAGGTATGAGCTTACCTTACAGAGGCTTGGGGCCCAATTCTCCACCATTAATTTGCAATTCTGATCAAATGTCAGCATCAAAAATGATAAAAATTCAACATAATTCACAGGATTACCATTATTTGTTTTTGCACAATGCATTTGAATATTTTTTTAAAAAGGGAATCTGACTTGAAGTCCTTGGACTACAATGCCAAAATTTCATTTATTTGTAATTAGAAATAAATATTTCACAATATATAATTACATATTGTTTTTGTGATTAATCATTATGCTTTAATTATGTTCAATTTGTAACAATGAAAATACATCCTGCATATCAGATATTTACATTACGATTCATAACAATAGCAAAATTACAGTTATGAAGTAGCAACGAAAATAATTTTATGGTTGGGGGTCACCATAACATGAGGAACTGTATTAAAGGGTCGTGGCATTAAGAAGGTTGAGAACCACTGATCTAGAGCAAATTCTGTCTGTCAACTCTTGTTTCACACTCTGAATTTTTTGCTGCAAATCAACCAAAGGAAAACATCAGAGGAAACCTGATAACAGCCTTAAAATTATTTGGCCTTTAAAAATCCAATCAGACTTTAGTTCTAAAAAGATAGAAATGGGGCACATCCAAAAAATCTAAGATATATCATACAACTCTTTTGTACAATGTAAATAATATGTCAGTGGCTTTGTTATCCTATTTCAACTGGTTATGTTTAGGATTCAAAATTGCTAGACTTCTTAGAACTCTTGCAGTTAGGAACCAAGATGCAGAATTCCCAAGCACAAAATTTTTGTACTTGGGAGATAAATAAATAAAGTAAATAAAATGTAGAAGATAGCTTTTGAAATAATTCTCTTCTTTAGATTCCAATTTTACAAACAGAAGAATGAGTTAAACGGAAGGCATTTCATAAACCAGGCATAAATCCAGAACTCAAGCTAATATAAACTATCTGTCAGTCTATGAGCCCAGAATGACGCTGATGGGGCTGTTTTTCTGACTGTTCTCCTTATTGAGTCTTTGCCTAGCACGTTGTGTCTTATTTGCTCCCTTTCATCATAAATGGATTAACTAGATTAACTGGATTTGGAAATGGAGAAAAAGTCTGGAATCAGTCTGTTGTGCAAAGTTAGATGTCTGCACTGTATATTAAATGTTTTTTTTTCTTTATGTATCTTCAGGTTTCAATGTAATTGAGAAATAATTGTTCAATCTCATCTATAATTTGATAAATACAAGAGTCTAACACTATGTGCTTAATGCAGTTAAGAAGTGTATTGTATTTCATATTTTAGTATGAATGGCAAATAACAAGTGTAGTTTAGTAGGAAATCTTGATAAACAAAACTACAAAGTAATTAATTAATAGCAAATGTAAATATGTTAGATGGTATTCTCAGATTGTGGCATAATCCATGCCTCAGAGAAAAGTAGGTGGTGTTTATCTTACCATTGCTCAAAAGAATTGTATTTTAAGTAATAAAAGAATATTCCTTGAAAACGTTTGAATGAGTCACTTTTTACAACTGGCATTGTTTGTATGTATGCACAAACTCATATGCATACATACATCTTTGCCTGGCAGGGCAGAATAGATTAAACCATTTATGGTGTGCATGTGTTGAGTACTGTTAAATTTTGTATATAACTCTTTAGCAATGTTAATTATAACTCATGTTAATATAACAAAAATGTGCTGACAAATCAGATAAATCTCTGCCAATTGTTTCCTCAGTCTTGATAGCATCTGGACTAGATAATACTGGGCCATATAATTAGGTTAAGTGAACCACATTTTATTGTAGCAGCTGACACACAAAGTACCTTTGTAGCTTTATCTCAGTCCTTCACAGTAGCTAGGCTAGGAAATCAAAAGTTATGAATGCTAATACTACTTTTATTATAAAGTTAACAGTAACAGAATTTTTGAGGTCGGAATCACTTCTCCCCTCCCTCCCTTTATCTTTGTGAAGTGTGTCATGTCTCAAACACTTTCTCAAATTACATTCCTGTTCCAGATTCAGATTTCTCTTATCTGAACTTTGTCTTGGTTGTGGCTCTTCCTCTTGTTTCTTGAGATTATTCCTTCTACCTGTTATACTTTAGTACAGTTTTAACTTTATATGCTAAATCTAGCGGGGAAGACCAAAATTTACCTATGCAGAAATAGTTACCTGCAAAGAATGTGTTGGATTTCATAGAGGAAAGTAAGCATAGTATGTTATACTAATACTTGGAGTTTTATTCTCCGTTTCTTCTGCCAGCGATCATAAGAACTGTTTTAACATTTTATCAGCACATCCTCTGTGTGTGTGTGTGTGTGTGTGTGTGTTTGTGAGTGAGTGTGAGAGAGAGAGAGAGAGAAAGAGAGAGAGAGAGAGAATGCATTTATATATATATATATAAACAAATATGTCAAATTTATACTGAAGGACTGACTGGTTCTCAAAAGAACAATGAATTTTTTAATGTTGATTTTAGATATTTGAAAGTTTTTGTTTGCTTCTAAGGTTTTTTTAAATACTAAGCAAGTTTCCAGAACTATATAATTTGGTACAAACCATATTCATGTCAGAACATTGTTTTTGACCTGACTACTTGCTTTGAAGGGAAAGTAGCTGAGGAAGGGCTTAGCTGTGAGTAATTTTCCACTTATTTATCAATCTTCTGTGCTCAAAAGGGATGTTTACTATATACAGTATTGCAATTTTGGAGCAAATAGCTTTAGAAAGAGGAGTTTTCAGGAAGAAATTAGTATCTGGATTAAGGATATTATGCAAGTATTTTAATAAAGGAAAACAACTAAGAACATCTAACTGGGCCATTGATGGAAAGTCAACCATAAAGGATCCATCTCTGAGTTAAATGGCAGGTTTTTGAGGAAGTATATTTTGTATGGAGTTATTATTTTGTTAGACTCAAGAAATTTGAGACAGCAGGCATAACATTTTGTCTTTCAATGTTTGCCCACAAACATTTCTGTGAAGTAAATTGGGGTGAGAGTGATTGGCCCATAATCACTCTGGAAGCGTCAATGGCCAAGGGTGGCTTTGAACCAGGTTGCTGAATCTAATATTTTGAATCCTATATCATACTATTAACTGATTTTTGTCTTGACATTTCCCAATTTAAGTGATGAGGGTGGGCTTCTCTCAAGGTTTTTGATGTGTTTTTCATTGGCAGTGAGGGGCAGTGCAAATTTTAATTTCCCTATAGGCCTGAATATAATCAATTTCCCTCTTATTTATTTTTCCAGTGTTTGATTGTTGGAGGTGGTCCCTGTGGCTTGCGAACTGCCATAGAACTTGCCTTTCTTGGAGCCAAAGTTGTTGTCATAGAAAAGCGAGATGCTTTTTCAAGAAACAATGTACTTCATCTCTGGCCATTTACGATTCACGATCTTCGAAGTCTGGGAGCTAAAAAATTTTATGGGAAGTTTTGTGCCGGATCTATTGATCATATTAGTAAGTCATAATTACAACATTGTTTCTTTCTGAAAAGGAAAATGGAGGTCCATTTTAACCATGGTGAATATTTTTGTTTAGAAATATTAGCTGCAACCTAATACCAAGATGCAGATGTGGGGGTGTTGAATAGTTGAGGGCTCTTCCTGATATGGTATAACATTTATTACAACGGATTCAAATGCTGAAACCAAGAACTACTGCCAGGTATTTTTGGAAGAAGATTAAATAAATGCTTTAGTACCTAGAATATTTTAACTCTTTCAGAGTTTGTACCTCCTATCAATACTTTCAAGTATGTTTTACCTGAATGTCAAAGTATTCCTTCAAATTTTCATCAATTTCAATTGACAGAAATTATCTTTACATTCAGTGTTCATGTAGAATTGCCAAGCTTTTCTTTTAAAATTTGTTCATTTATTTATTTATTAGAATTATGTGCCACCCATCTCATCTAGAGATTGTTTATGCTTGAAAATCCTTTTTCTCCCAAGCTTTCATTTGAGCTATGCTGATAATTGGAAAGATATTTCATATGCTTCCTACTATGTACTCATTGTATTATAAGACTTAATAATTTAGTTTATAAAATGGTACCTAATGGGGTAAGTATGCTTCAAAAATAATTCAGAAGAAATACTCTAGAAAACTTGAGAGCATGAGCATAATATTGCTTTAAACCACAGTGCCTTTTGTCAAACTACTAAACTCATCACCTGGGCACTTACTGATGCTGGATAACCTAAATTGTATTTTTCAGTAGGACTTGATGTATATGTCAGACTTCAAATACAGCCTCCATTTACAATATGGATTATTCATTATAAAATACAGGAATGGGATTCCAATAAATAGGCGTAGATCCTTTCTTGACATTAAAAATACCGTAAAGAAACTTCCTTGGTATCTGATCTTCCAGAATGAAAATACATGGTAAATAATGCATAATCAAAAACATCACACATGACATTTCTCTTTCACAGGCATTAGACAACTTCAGCTTGTCCTCTTCAAGATTGCACTGCTGCTGGGAGTTGAAATCCATGTGAATTTAGAATTTGTGAAGGTTTTGGAACCTCCTGAAGATCAAGAAAATCAAAGTAAGTTGTATTTCTTTGAACGGGGGTATTACACAGAAAATAGGACGCTATTTTTGGTGCAACAGATTACATCTGAGTAGAAGTGTGCAAAGTGTTCTATGTGGCTTGTCTGTGTCCAGACTACAATACGTATTTTTGATTTGTATCTGTAATGAAACTTTGTAGCTTGTCCAGGCACAGATGGAAATATGTGTTCTGGGCAGAAATGTTTGTGGAGAAAGCCACAGTTGTTGCTGGTACATGACTGCTAAGTAAAGGAAGGTGCTAGAAAAGTCAAGTGAATGAAAGGACTGCTTGGATAGCTCTCACTCTGACTTCAAGCGCAGCATACACAAACAGAACACAACAGAATAACAGAGTTGGAAGGGACCTTAGAGGTCTTCTAGTCCAACCCCCTGCTCAGGCAGGAAACCCTATACCATTTCAGATAAATAGTTGTCCAATCTCTTCTTTAAAATCTCCAGTGTTGGAGCACCCATAATTTCTGAAGGCAAGTCATTCCACTGATTAATTGTTTTAACTGTCAGGAAATTTCTCCTTAGCTCTAGGTTGAACTAAGCTTATCTGTCCCCATCTTTCCAAGGTTTTTTTCCCCTTTCCCCTTTAGCTGCTAATGCTGATATCCTTGGCTTCAAAAGCAGCATAAAGGGAGGAAGAGAAGAAAGTTTTGGCTTAAGCTATGAGAAGTAGAAGAAGAGAGTAGCTCTTAGTACCTTTCCAAAGTTTGTCTCAAATGATGAAATCCTTCTGGATTTTTGATGTTGAACTACTGTCCATCCATGTTCAGCAGAACCTCTGAAATAGTATGTGTTTGTTTTGGCTTGAAACAAAATTAATTTTCCATGTTATGTGCATCTCAATATGTGACCTGAATAAATTCATATGTTTGTGTATTTTATTTATTTTGACTAATGTTCAAATTTTAGAGCAGATGTTGTACCACATGCCTTCTCTCAAACTGAAGGATTATCTCTGAAATTTTTTTCCAAAGAAGTTAAGCATGAAATTGAGCATAGAAGCTAATTAAAATCTCAAGAATCCTTACTTTAAAGAGAGTTTGGTAACAGCAACTGATTAAGTTGTGGTTAATCCCAATTTTTTAGATTGTTTTAACTGTAAGAGAATTTGCAATAAATATACACTTTTTCCCCCACAAATTTAAAGACAGCATTTCTCCCATAAAACACACTTCATCTGTGTTTTCTATAATGTATATTTTTAATAAATTGAATCTTTAAAAAATTAACTTAGAAGAAAGTAGGGAAGTTTTTCCAAACTTTTCTGATTTGCATTGTACATGTTATTGACATATGTTTGCTGGTTAATCTCTTGATTTCAGAAATAGGTTGGAAAGCTGAATTTCTCCCAATGGATCATCCCTTATCAGAATTTGAATTTCATGTCATAATTGGAGCTGATGGCCGAAGAAATAGTTTGGAAGGTATGTTATATACAGTATCAAAATTCAATTGAACAAATATCTAAAATGGAAATAAAGAGCCTGCTCATTTTTTTGTTTATGATGAACAATAAAGTAGATCAGACTTTTAAAAATTATTACACTTTTATCTTTTAAAAATATAGGTGGCTATATTATTAGCAAAGGAAAGAGACATGCACTTTTAAACTGCAAACTAATGCAGAGCTCTCCAAAGTTCCAGCAAAGGCAAGCTGTGCTATTTAAATCACAATTCTGCAGGGGTTGAAAATGAATATACACAATATTGCATATATTTAATGAAAAATTACTTTAGGAAGCAATAATTTGACTTAAAAGATCATCATTGTGGATTTGACAGAGAATAACAAAGTGGAAGGAAAGAAAGATCCTATTGTATTTGCTGCAAAAAATGTTAACTATTTTAAACTTAATTTAATAATATCAATGATTTAATAATAATAAGTATCACAACTTTTAAGTCGGCTTTTGTCAGTGAGACATTAGTTAAATAGCCCATGCTATGTCATATGACTGAACATCTTTATGCAGATTCCTATTGGGACTTAATTAGATGCACATTTAATTCTTTGGAATTACTGAACTTTATCTTAAATGATGAATTCTGAGGTTGGAAAGTACCAGAGGAATGTGATAGAATAGTCACAACAGGTAACACCAAGAAAGTTTTTAGCAAAACAAGTAGACTCTTTAGGAGATTTGTAAATGTTTGCACTGGATATGAAATATGTAGAACTGTCTAGTTAAAAAATGAAGAGGGTCAGTTTTAAGAATCTAATGTAGGAAATTATATAGTTAGAGGAGGTATGGTTCAATTAAAAGAGAAATGCCAGGAGAGAGAAACAAATATTTGAGAATTTTCATGCTCCAAATTAATTTAAAAACTCTCCACCTGAGTTCTAGGGTAAATGCCAAAATTTCTCATGGAAAAAAAGTATTAATCAACTGATAAGCATTCTCTTGTTGATTTTCCTTGTAAGGTTTTAAAAGGAAGGAATTTCGTGGAAAGCTAGCTATCGCCATTACTGCCAATTTTATAAACAGAAATACCACTGCAGAAGCCAAAGTGGAGGAGATTAGTGGTGTTGCTTTCATTTTCAATCAAAAATTCTTCCAAGATTTGAAAGAAGAAACAGGTGGGTATTCTTTTAAATGTGGCAGAATCCAGCAAGCTGGAAACCAAATTGGTGTAGGTGTATTAAATTGGCAATGGACGTTTAATTCATTTTCTTTAAGATTTTGTTGTTCATTGATTTACACAAAAATCTATAATATACAGATCCAGTCATCATGTTAAATCAAAAGCAATTTACCCACATTATATTTGTGCAGTAATGTACATTTTTTCTAGGTTGTGGGTCACCTCTTTCCTTTGGATGTAGGAATATGGAGGATTAAAAACAAATTGATTTAATTTCACTTGTAGTTTTAATTAAATTTAAATTGGAATTGAATATGAATGCTGTCTAGTTAGGAATTTAATATCATTTCCTTTTTCTTACAATAAAAACTACGATTTGGCAACAATTTCTGTAGGCCTATGTAAGCTGCATATGAGGGCCATAGATTATGGATCTCTAATCATAGCATTAGGTATGAAATAAATCATAGTTATTTTTAAGGTGCTACTCATTGCAATAAAACTAGCAAAATGTTTTATGACTTTTTACAATAGAATGTTCTCGGTCTTTATTTTTTCCTATTATGTTCTGTTCGAAAAAATTCACAACACTTTGCATACATACAAGGAGAAATCTGATTCCCGGAAACATGCTGTTTGTTGATAAATTTAATGTGATATAATTTTTAACTAGGATAGGATTTTAGACTATGTATGAACATGCATGGTTTAATGTGTTCATCTCTAAACTATTATGCGATCCTGTTGTTTTTAGTGTCATTGTCATGTTAGAATTTAATTAAATGTATAGTTGAGAATGAACTTAAATTCAAAATTTAGGAGGTAGAAAATAGTTTTTTCCAAATTTGTTGAATATTAAAGTAGAAAAAAATTAAGGAATGTATACTGTTTTAGAGTATGAGTTTTCATCCCAAAACATGTTTTATTCTTCTGTAGGAATTGACCTAGAAAATATTGTTTACTATAAAGATAGCACGCATTACTTTGTGATGACTGCAAAGAAACAGAGCCTTTTGGAGAAGGGTGTCATCATTAATGTAGGTATCCAGTGTATATTTTTTTCTCTGTATAATAGTACACATTCTGATCTCTGAGCCGGAACAGAAACTTGAAACTTAGATTCTCTGTTTTTTTAATCACTACTGTCCAGATTATTTGGGACAGATTATTTCCAGAATTCCCAGCCAAATGGCCATTGTATTCCCAAAGTACTGGAAATTCTAGGGGTTGCAGTCCCAACACATCTGAAGAACTACAACTTGACAAAAGCTGAACTGAATTTTCAAATTGAAATATAACAGGAAATTGTATTTAAGTGTTCAAGAACATTTCAGTGAAATTGAGCGTTCAAGGGAGATGGAGAGAGAACATGCAGGTAGAGGACTCATCGTAGCACTAATAAACCAGGGCATGTCCTGGATTAAAAAAAATCAAATACATAGGTATAGAATAGACAATAGTTACTTAAATAGGAGCCAGTAGTGTGCTGAAGCTGCCAAAAAAGCCAAGGCAGTCCTAGACTGCAGCAATCAAGGAATAGCATCAAGATCATGAGAAGTGATAGTATCACTTTATACTGAATTAGTGAAGCCACACTTGGAATGTTATGTCCAGTTCTGGTTGCCACAATACAAAGAAAGCCCTAGAAATAGTGCAGAGAAGAACAATAAAGATGATAAGGTGTCTGGAGCCTAACCATATGATGAATGGTTAAGGGAACTACATATGCCTAGCCCATTGAAAAGAAGGTTTAGGGGTGACATGATAGGTATCTTCCAATATTTATGGGGCTGTCACAGAGATGAGGGGATCAACTTATTCTCCAAAATATCTGAGCACAGGACAAGAAGTAACAGGTGGAAGATCATTAGAGAGAGATGCATGGTCTCTTCCAATCCTTTTTATTTTATGTTCCACATACTGTCTGAATTCATAATTTTTTAAAAAGAAATCTGTTTTTTTTAAAAAATATCTTTTTAGTTAGCCACATATATGTTTGATTTAGATGCAGTCAATAGTCTAGAGCAGGGATCCCCAACCCCTGGGTGGTGGCCTGTTCAGAACTGGGTAGTGCAAGTGGTGGGTGAATGCGTGGATGTTCAAAAGCTCCATTTGTATGAGCTGCAAATTGAGCTGCAGATGCGTGCGTGCACTTGCCCGCCCCTCGTGCAGAACCATCCACTCTCCCTCCCCTCCTCCAGTCCACAAAGCCAGAAAGGTTGGAGACCGTTGATCTAGAGCAAATTAAATTGTTAGAATATAGTATGCATATAACTTCATCCTGTATTGTTATATATAATTAGTTGTTTTAACTCGCATCCATTGGACTAACCAAGAATTCTAACAATAGACATCTGTGATTTCATTTAGGATTTTATTGATACTGAAATGCTGCTGTGCATGGAAAATGTAGACCAAAACAATCTATTGTCGTATGCAAGAGAAGCTGCCGACTTTGCGACTGATTATCAATTGCCTGCCTTAGATTTTGCAATTAATCACTATGGGCAACCAGATGTGGCCATGTTTGATTTTACTTCTATGTATGCCTCGGAAAATGCTGCATTAGTACGTGAGAGGCATCGACATCAACTGTTGGTTGCTCTTGTTGGAGACAGTTTGGTAGAGGTAGGATGAAATACGCATTTGTTCAAGATAGCTTTCAAAAGTGATTTGCTTTGTAACAATAATTTTGTGAACCATCATCTAGTAAATATTGCAATTATGAATGCTATAATACTATTCTCTAACTTAAGCGGTAGGAACTTCAGGAGCATTTACAATCCATACCAAGAGTTTTTTTTTATTACTTTTACTATTGTCCGATATTCCAGCTCTTAACTATTGATTGTTTTTCCTCCACTTTCTCCTCTTTTGTGTAAATTGCTTACCTTCCTGTATTCTCTGCTTTCTCCCTGTAATATTGTGACTGGATGGCATCTAGATCTGGTCATTGACTGTAATAAAGAGTTTGAATTTTTTCAATGTGAATTATATTAGATGTTACCTAAAACAAAGATATGTTTCATAGCCGTTCTGGCCAATGGGTACCGGTTGTGCAAGAGGATTCCTAGCTGCATTTGACACAGCGTGGATGGTGAAAAGCTGGGCTCAAGGAAAACCCCCTCTTGATATCCTAGCAGAAAGGTAAATCTATATGTGTTTGTCTTTATATACTAGAGAAGTGAGTAAATTCCATTTTTCACAGAGGGATGAAGAATCCGTGGCCAACTAGATATCAAGCATTCCTTACTATTGACCTTGGGCACTTGGTTGCTACAGTGTATTTCAGTAGCATCTAGGTGACCTAGTTCTGCCATATTTGATAATGCTTCTATTATCTTATTCTTGTTTTTATTTTGTTATCAATTTGTTTCTCATTTGCTTCACTGCAATCTTTGCCCAATTACAAGGAGGAGAGGAGAGTTGTTGAGAGAGTTTTTTAAGGATTTATGTATGGTAATGATGAAGTCAAGTGTCTGTATTTGGAAATAGGTCATATAAGGGCTGAGAAAGCATGTTTGTGGAAAGCAAAAGACAGCACAGGCTGGAAACAGAAACCTGGCTGACTAATAATGGCTGTGAAATCTATACCTACTGCTGTTTTGTGGCTAAAGGAGGAGTTGTTTCTTGTGCTAAAGGAAAATTAAAACCAGATGATTTAGGATGATGTAATCTTACTTCTTCGGAGCTATTTTTCTGTTTTAGGAAGACCTGTTTTCTGTCTGAGTTGTTCTCATCATCAGCATTTTTCATACTATGGCAAATCTAAATTCATTGTCCGATTAGAGGTGGGTGCACATTAGGTAGGGACGAAAACTGCATGCCTCTTAAAAACAAACAGGCATATTTCTATTGCTGTCTTTCAGGGAAAGTATTTATAGACTCTTACCTCAGACAACACCTGAAAATATCACTAAGAATTTTGACCAATACACTATTGACCCTGCCACACGATATCCAAATTTGAACTCAAGTTGTGTTCGGCCACATCAGGTAAGCCAAGATATAAACAACAAAACTCTTTATATTCATAGCAGTACTAGGAAGGGTGGATATTTTTTAGAACATTTCTGTTCAACTTTGACTGCCATGAATATAGTGGTTACATAATTGACCTGTAAAATGTGAAAACAAACTCAGATGATTATGAAGAAAATGCAGACCTGCCTGGTTTTCATGCATGTCTTGATAGATTTATTTCCCCTAGATGCTTATTTGCAAGTTACCACAATGGTGTTTTATTGAGTTTTAATATTGGTAAATACTTGGAATCTTGGAATAGGATAGCATATAAATATAATAATTAACATATAAACTGGGGTTAGATGGAGATTGCATATCCATTGTCAGTTTAGATAATTGAATGATAAATCAGATTTGAGCAGTGACGTTTCTGAATTCAATTGATAATTATCTTCCCTTAGGTGAAACATTTATATATTACAAATGAACTGCAGCCCTGCCTATTAGAAAGAGCAAATACCATTAGAAGATCAATTGGCTTTTCAAAACATGGTATGAGAACTTTCATTAGTATTCTTTTTTACACCATATATGAGAAGAGTTTGAAAGTTGTAAAGATTGTACTATTTTTTTGAAAAAAAAAATTATTCTTTCAGAATATGACATAAGGCCCAATAAACTTTTAACCTGGTGTCAGAAACAGACCGAAGGATACAAGAACGTGAATGTCACAGATCTCACTAGTTCGTGGAAAAGTGGCCTTGCCTTATGTGCAATTATGCATCATTTCAGACCTGACCTCATGTAAGTTTTTATATATGTATGTAATGCTTGCTAATTGCCAAGTTCCTTTTAAAATAGAGACTAGAATCAGGCCAATCAAAACAGTAAATAAAGATTGTTTCTCTTTTTAACATCTATTTTGCCACTCTCTGCATCTTTTTGTTCAGACTCTGCTCCTTAATGTCTTTGGCTCCATTCTAAAAAAATATCAGGTTTGCAGATTCAAAGAACTCCTTGAGTTTCAATCATGCTGCTTTTGCTTGCGTTAGCAGAAGTTGATGTCTTTTATGCTTGTATTTCTTCCTGAATTCATAGCATTTGTTATTTTACAGTGTTTTCTTTTAAATACTCTGTGCTGAGTAATATTCACATGCAAATGTGGGGAGAGGTTATTCAAAACTGAGGTGTGCCATTTGTATTGTCATAACAGTCTGGAAAAAAAAATACAAAAATAGTCCAAGACAAAAGAGCAATGATAGAAAGAAAACAAACCTTGAAGGCAACCAAAAGGAAGAAAGGGGCATCAATTGTCCTTACCAAAACCTAGGCAAAGAACCAGGTCCTTAGGGCTCTTTGAAATGCCAGTTGTGTGTGTGTGTGTGTGTGTGTGTGTGTGTATCTTAATGCATCTGTGGAAGGATATTATGTCAATTATTTGGAGAATACATTTTATTTTTTTATCCATATGCCAGTTCCCCAAGAATTCTGGAGATGATGATGATGATTATATTTTTATCCTGTCTTTAATATATTTTGGTCAGCTCAAGGCAGTTAACGTACCTAATGTTCCCACCTCTTGTTTTCTCCACAAAAATAGCCCTGTGAAGTGGGTTGGGCTGAGTGTCTGGACCAAAGTCATTCATCCAGTTTTTCATGCCTAAGAGAGACCTAGAACTCACAGTCTCCTGGTTTCTAGGTCAGAACTTTAACCACCACACCAAATTGGCTCATACTAGAACTAGAGAAGAGCAACAAAGATGATTAAGGGACTGGAGGCTAAAACATATAAGGAACGGTTGTTGGAATTGGGTATGTCTAGTTTAACGAAGAGAAGGACGAGGGGGGACATGATAGCAGTGTTCCAATATCTCAGGGGCTACCACAAAGAAGAGGGAGTCAAGCTATTTTCCAAAGTGTCTGAAGGCAGGACAAGAAGCAATGGATGGAAACTAATCAAGGAGAGAAGCAATCTAGAACTAAGGAGAAACTTCTTGACAGTTAGAACAATTAACCAGTGGAACAACCTGCCTCCAGAAGTGGTGAATGCTCCAACACTGGAAGTTTTCAAGAAGAGACTGGACAGCCATTTGTCTGAAACTATATAGGGTTACCTGCCTGAGCAGAGGATTGGACTTGATGACCTCCAAGGTCCCTTCCAATGTTGTTGTTGTTGTTGTTGTTGTTGTTATTATTATTATTTTAGCAATTACTTCATACTTATTTAGCAAACATCATTCTCTAGAATAATGACATTATTATGCCAACAGATACTAAGCTTCTTCCTAATACCTAATGTCTTCCATATCTATGTACTTAACTTCCCATCATTTCTAGTTGTAGCCTCTAGGAAGTATTCAAATAACAGTTCAGTACATCTGTAAGATGCAAGATTGAAGACAATTTATTTTGAACATTTACATATTCTGGTTTGGTATATATATTATTCTATTATTTATTCAGGATTTCTTTCATTGGTTGGTTGGTTGTCAGAATTCTAAGGGATAATTATAGACTATTGTTTTGTACATATAACCTGGACTGAAATGATGTAAGGAGATGGTGGTATTTCACTCTGGCAAAAACATAATGTGGAAGAGAGTAAATAGGTATGAATACTTACTAAATTGATTTTTTATCAAGGATACCAACACGGATTTCCCCCCCCACAATGTTTTAGAAAAACTTTGAAAACAAAAAGATTTAGTACAGGGAGAAACATTTTGTAAAGTACTGTAAGAGATGAGCAACAAGAAAATAAGTCCAGTTGCCATGACTTAGTTTTTAGACTGAGATATTTCTGTACTTATATGACTTTTCTTCCTAATTCTTAAGTGACTTTGATTCCTTGAATGAAGAAGATGCAGTCGAAAACAACCAGCTAGCATTTGATATTGCTGAACGTGAATTTGGAATTCCTCCTGTCACAACTGGGAAAGAAATGGTGTCTGCTGTGGAGCCTGATAAACTCAGTATGGTCATGTACCTCTCAAAATTCTATGAGCTATTTAGGGGGACACCTCTCAGAGCAGTGGGTAAGTTAGCTCTGTTGCTTTTACTCTAGGCAGAAAACAAGCTTTTGTTACTTTTACATTCAGGTTTGGCCTTAAACCTGACCCCAAGGTTTCTTGCAATTGTAACTGCTTTGGAATATCTAATTAGATTTAGCTATGTTAACCAGGTTTTATAACAAAATAGGGTGAATGGACAGTTTTATTCTTGAATGGTTTTGGAAAGCCAGAAGACACTGTTGCCATTACTTATTTTGGTTAATTGATTACATAAGTTTTATGAAAGTTGGTGATCCTACACTTGGTTTTCATATTTGTGTCAGTTTTATTACATTTTTTAATTGAGAACCTTGTCTGCTAGATATATTGTTTTCTAAGTTCTATGATATGGATCAGTAATATTTAGAAATCTACGCAACCCAATATACTTTTGCACCTTTCACATAAGCAAAATGGCAATGTGGAAAAGAGGACAACTCTTGGCTCTGTTTTGCATTAAAATTTGCACAACAGAAGAGCTTTTAGGCATGCACTAGTATCTTTTATTTAAAGTAATCATTACAACCTGCTGATTGCAGCTGTTTACTCAGATATGCATCTTGCTTAGACTCAGCTCTGCTCAATGTGTTGTGATTTTTGTGTCAGTATTTGGCACTGTTTGAGTGACTGAAGCCTTTAAATCCACCTCCCAACTTTCTAGTCAGTCACAGAAAGACATCTGACTTCATTGGAAGGGACAAGGACAAATTTTATGTCCCTTTCATGTGGTGGTTATGGATAGAAATAGAAGTGGTAGACCTCTGACAGGCAAATCCCTTCCATCCCCACCAATAAAACTTCTTAAAATCCAAGCAGTGGCCTGATATCCATTTCTCAGGCACATCTTGGGTCTTTCTTCCAGATTTGTAGGAAGGACAGTTATAGAGGTTATTATAAAAATGTTCAACTTTTTAGAACTTCATGTTTTTGGAGTTGTTATGGTGGGGAATAAAAATGGAACCAGGGACAGGAGACAAACCACTTCTACTCTGAATTTTTAATGTTTTTTTAAGTACTGCTGAAATTCAGCGATTTTGCTATTAATTTTGGCAGTAAAGTTTAGGGTGTTGAGTGGGAACTGAATGTCTATTCATCTCTATTCTAACTTCAGAAGATAGGACTGTACTATTTAGTTTGAATAATAATGTTTCTTTTTCAATGTTTCAATTTTTTTTTTGTAATGAAAAACTTTCTGAAGTTAACAATGAGTTATAAAGGCAGTTTTGTAGGGAAAAATACTTGAAAGTATAAATAACTTGCTTTACATGATTTCCAAATTAATACATGATGCCTTAATTTACTTTATTTGTTTATGTTTGAACAGGTACTGTGACAAAGCAAAATGGAGAAAGAATTGATCCTTGTTCAGCAAAATCATCCAATTTTGTCCGTAATAATCACATAAACTTGACATTTCCAAGGAAGAGAATACCAAAAGTAAAATTATATATCTTTTTTCTTCTTCCTCCTCCTTCAGATAAAGGAATAAATGCATGCATAGTACAAAATAAACAGCACACTTATAAACTTACAAATACTGTGTAACTCATGATGGTTAAAAATAGGATTATACTCAATTATCTACATGTTATTTGATCAGAGTATGGCTTTCCCTATCATGCAAACTTTGTACATTTCCCTGGACTATTTGGTTGCCATTTGAGGTCACTATGAAATTGACCTTTGATTTCCTGAGGCTAAATTATTTCAATAGGACTATTGAAAAATGTTCTCCAGTAAATCTGCTCTTCCATTTACAGATGTCAAATTGACCTAATATTAAAGGAAACTACAGTTTTTAAAAGAGAATTTACTTATCAGTGACAAGTATTCTCTGCTGATTTCTGAAAGAGATCACTATGTTTTTTCCCCCTCTGTTGATCCTTCATTGGAACAGCTATGGTATGACTGCATAGTAGCAGGAAAATAAAAGAGTGAGTGTGTGTGAGTTTGCAGGTATGATTAATAATGAAAGAGTGTTACTTCCCACTACTAATTTTATATTTAGTGCAAGACATACTCAGCTGAAGAACAGGAAGAAAGTTTCGTTTTATAGAGATACAACTTCAGAACATTAAAATTAAATTTAAATTAAATTTAGAAAACTAAATTAAATTTCATCCTATGTATGAAAATTAAATAAGTGTGATCTTTGAGATGAAGCATCCTATCATATCTCTTATGTATCAGAAAAAGATACAGCTTTACATAATACTACCTGTGTTCAAATATGAGCTTAAACTTTCCAGTATTTTTATAATGAAATTGCTGTATATTAGATAATTCGTCTATCAACTTCTATCATATGACACTGTTTGATAGAGTGTATGTTGGTTAAAATTGCCATCTGACTTTACTTAGTTACTCTTGTGATGAATGGAACTTACACCACCATAAACTAGCTGCATTGATTTGAATAGTCAGCTAACAATGGCTACACTCTAGTACAGGGGTGTCAAACTGCCGGCCCACAGGTCGGAGGCGTCATCGGAAAACCACGGCCACCCCATTGCCGGCAATGGCTAAAAAGCTCCAATATGTTGCGCGATGTCACATGACGTCGCAAGTTTGACATGTCTGCTCTAGTATGTGAGGTTTCACACATGCAATGTAACTCCCCCTTCTCTCCCCCCTACATTTTCTCCCTACATCTACTTACGTGTCCCTAGAAGGCCTCCAGAGAATTCAGCATGCCTGTATCATTTTACAGAGATTCTTTGATTAAATAAGAGAATAAACAAAAATATTTGGTCAAACAGCTTCAGTAACTAGCAACTAAAAACAATGAGTGCATTTTGTGCTTTTAAAGCTGTTATCAGCTCTGCCTTCTGAAAGGCTAATGAATAAAGTTTAAGAGAGCCTCCCAAATACAAAATGTAAGACTCTCCTTAGGCCAACCAGTCTATAAATAATACCATCAAATCATGTGAATATTAAGCTATCTACCAGTAGTCATATGCCCTTTTTAGGAAACAGCCTTTCTTTATTCAGCTATGCAAACAGAACTGGTGTTTTTATTCAATTGAAACCCAGCTATCCAATTTAGCAGAAGTTAAAATGCTCACCCTTTTAAACAAGTTTGCAGTAGATTCCTCTGCTGAAATATTGATATGGTGTATTTCACAATGTAGCTTACTGTAATTTTTCCAGTCTTGCACGTCAACATAAATTAGACATCTTAATTTTTTTCTGTTTTTTTTATTCTATACCAGCTTTCCTGCCCTCAACTACACAAACAACAGTGAATATGAACATTAAAAAAAAACATGCTCAGAAACTTAATTTTAAAAGATCTATGAATTAAATCTACAACTCTGTAATCAGGACTGTGCTTATAGTTCTGTCCCATCGATGGTTCTTTTACTTACTTCCCTGCTTCATTGGGAATGAAGATCACACAAATAGCTTGGCAGGGAGAGAATAAAAACAATTTTCCCATTCTGGTTTCTATTAGTAGTAGGAATTTCTATTATAGCCTCTTCCAAGAGCAGAAGGATAATTCTGGTTCATGTGACCCTTAATGATGATTTTTATCTAGACAGACAATAGTCTAATTTAAAAAAAAACTTTGAAAACTTTTAGGACCATTTTTAGAACTATACATCTGTTGGTATTTTGGAAAGGAGAGCTAAGAGTGGTTTTGTCCATCATTTAGAACATTACACATAGCTATAAAATAGTTCCAAAAGAAATAAACTTAAGTGAAATAATGTGGCTTGCAAACTCATTTTGTTGAATTTTATCAGCAATGCCACTCACATTAGCTTGAAATATTATTCAACTGACATAATATTGAAATATTCACAGGATACTTTCTACCTCTTCGAGAGGTAGAGAGCTATATAAATTAATTCATATCACCGATAACTTCTGTCTTCCTTACATAAATAACAACTGGTGATTTATCCAGGACCTGAATGGGACAGCAATATACACAATCTCCTAAGTGGTGTCATCAAAAAATGTGTAATGCTGGGATTTTTAGGCCCAAAATAATGCACACAGACCTTGAATTAGGGGAACCATATTATCTCCTGGTGGATTTCTGAGCTACTGTGACATTGGAATTGTATGATTCCTGAGTTATTGTGAGATGTCAGATAAATACAATAAATGATTTTATATGTTTAATCCACAATCCAAATTCATGGTGTGTATGTATGTATGTGTGTGTGTGTGTATTGCTTTTGCACCAAAAATAGAATATAGATAAGGATAATAAAAGACTTTATCTTTTGCTTTCCTTAAGTCCTTGAAATCTATCAGTTCAGGTAATTGTTCTCTTCTCATGGTTTTTTTTTTTTGGGTGTTTTAGCTGGTTAATAAGAAAAGTGCTCCCGAAATAATACAAAGAAGAATGGCAGAAGACAAAATGGCTTTCATTTTCATCAGATATGGTTTTATGTGGTTTTCACATAAAAATCAGATTGTACACATTTCACAGCTTATGAATAGAATGGAGGAGACTGAACAAACATATTCTAGTTTGGACTATAGATAACAAAATTTGCTGAGAATAGGTTGGTGTTTGTAGAAAGAGAAACATTAATATCAACTGGCTTTATAATATATTAAAAGTGCCCTAAAATTAGTCCTTCAGTCAATTCTTCATAGAAAGATGCATAATGAAACCTTGAATTGTACCTAGTACATAATTTAATTATACTCTTTGTCCTTCCTCCTTTTATAACTAATTTGATTTTTTAATGTACAGCATGTTCATTTTAACCAGTGCTCTTTGATTAAATAGATTTTTTATACATTTACAATTGTGAATGTTTTTTAACTTGATTTCATTGATTTTAGGTGGAAGAAAATGAAACCAGTAAAAGGCGACGCAAAAGTCTCATCAGTTTTGAAGAGGTTAGTAATAAATTTAATTATTAAATATGCTTTTATTGTATAATAAAGTTTGTTCTCCACTAGAAAAAAGTAGATATTAGGGAGTTCACATTCAGCTTTTTAACTGATTAAAATTAATCCTAACAAGTCAGGGGATAGGTAGCATTATTTTTATTTATTTATTAAAAGGGTTAAACTGCCCCATAGTTGAAGCTATTAACAACTCCCATTTTGTCATCAGTTCAATGTCCACAAAAAGAAAAATAACATTATTTTGGAACCTGCTTTAAACAAGCACGACTTCACTTTAGCCTATTTCAAGTAATATTGGATTCTTCAAATCTGTGGTTGCAATCTGTATGGCTACTGCCATTGACAATGGAAGCTCAACTTCTCTGAAGACTTGTAGTGTGACAAGTGTCAAATATCAAGGATAGAATTGACTTACTTGTTTTATCTTAAGGGCATTTCTATGGCTTTAGATACCGTCAACCTGAATCATTTAAGAGATTTGGGAATAGTCCCATTCCCATCTCTCAGGTAGGTTACAAATGATGTTGCTTGGACACAGATCCTTAAAACAGGAGATATAAGAAACTCTACAGATTTAATCTGTTCCCAGTAATATTTTATATCATCTTGAAACACTGGAAATATGCTGCTGGATTTATCAATGTGCTATTTCTCTATAAACTTTTCAAGAAATTGTATGCCTTCACTGAGTGGCCTGCAGTCTGTAGTGAGATAGATAAGGGATAATTCATTGCAAGTGAAGCAGAAGGTGCTCATTTGAAAGGCAATAATTCCAAAGAAGCATAGAAATGTATATTTTAAACAGGATTGCACTCTCCTTGAAGGGTACATAGCTAGTTTGGAGTATTTTTGGACTTGGATTTATCTCTTGTTTCTGAGACCAAATTGAAGAAATGGCCAGGGGCATGTTTTATCAATTTTAGTATTTGTACCCATTGGAAGACAATGATTTTAATATTATGATACATATCCTAGAAACTTCAAGGCTCTATACAGGTCTACCTTTGTGTCTATGAATATTTTATGTGGAGCAAAACAAGACAGTGAAGTTGGTCTCAGAAGGACCATGAGCACTCCATATTAAATCTATACTTAAAGTATAGTAGTCGCTGCCGATTAATTTGTTCACAAAATACAGTTAAAGTATTACTTAAAGCCTTATATAGTTCAGGTCCAGACTATTTGAAAGAAGAGCAGTTTCTATATGAATCTTTACGATTACTAAGATATGGAATGCTTTTCAAGTTCACAAATGTAATGAAGAAAGAACAATTTGGGCTAGTAGTTAAGGTACTACTACAGAGCGGTTGTTGTGGGGACAATAAGGGGAAGGAAGAGTAAGTATGTTTGTATCTTGAATTATTTATTTTAAAAAATGTAGATTTTTGATGTAGATTAAAAAGAAATTTACATCACAAAATCTACATAAATGGCAGTCATTAAGGTTGAGGAATAAATACATATACTTATTTCCTTCATTTGCTTGCTTATAGTCTTCAAACCATTTAAATCAAGAAAGAAATTCTAGTAATCAAGCAAGGGATTTGAAAGAAACAATAAATCGAAACAGAGTGAAATCAATGGCAACGCAGCTCTTAGCCAAGTTTGAAGAAAATGCGCCCAATGTTTCATTAAGGAGACAGGTGAGTGAACAAGCAAATAAATAAATACAGATGAGAAGAAGGCAGAGCAACTACAGGACAAGGCCCAGACTTTCTTGGTTAGTTGAGAAATGGGGATAAGAATATACTGGCAAAAACAGAGATGAGGTGGAGATGCTGAATTCTTCCGGCCTCTATGTGCTACAAAATGTGGAACATGCAGTAAGATGAAGTGAATATCTGAGGCATCAGTGTTGTAAGATGAGGAATTCCTTCATAGTGCCATGCAGTTAATAAAATCTGGACTCCTAGTACCCTTTATGTAGCACTTATGCCTACACCAGAAGTTCCATGTTTGATTATACAAAGCTTCCATGATGCTATTGCCCACATATTCTGGATCTGGTCCTTGTGACCTTGGCTTGTTTTTGGATTTTCTATGTACATCTTATGCTTGATAGATTAAATGAATCTACTGGCCTAGTTAGTTTGATCAGCTTTCATTTGACCAGTACTAGACTTTCCTTTGGCCTTGTTACTGCTTTGTTACTGCTCCCAGTACAAATAGTAACATTGGAGTCAAATCATTCTGAGGGATAACCAGCTATTTTGAGCAACTGGCACATAGGCCCTCTGAATATATATGCATGACATTACTATTTAAGTTTTGAATATAAGGAGAAAGATCCCAAAACTTTATTCTGCTTCCAAACAGCATTTCAGGGAATACTGATATTGATCAACTCTCAAAAAGTATGATTCTGGGTAATGCAGTTCAGTATTAGCTTCAGAGTCTTCACATAAATAGGAAATACAAATTTCTAGAAAGATATGCAGATAATATAAATATTGGTGGCATTATAAAAGGAAGCATCTCAGAGTTCCTCCTGTCTTTGTACTTTTTGTATAATGGTAAAATGCCACATAGATATTTGCTCCTATTCTGAGATAAACAAGATCCCTTTCAGATACTAGATAGTATGACATAATTTTATGATGCTTTCCTTCCCTGTTACTGAAAATTTTTGAAATAATATAATGACATGGGCTGTCTTAGCATGTAATATATATAATTTAATAGAACAATATATTTTTTTTATATTCCTGTGCTTCTTAAGATAGTTAGCAATACTTTGGTTAAGATTACAAAATGGTAAAAATTCTGTTACACATTTTTATTGCTACTTAAATAAATTGATTTCCTAGGAACATTACACTCCATACTAGTTGCTGCTTAAGTATGTGCAGATATTTCTAGTATAAGATTACATGTAGAAAACAAGACAAAATTCTGAATCAGCTTGGGCTTTTTGGTCAGAATCTTAAATGTCCAGCAGAAAAACTTGTTTGAAACATCCTACATAAATTCAGTGTATACAATTATGTAAAACAGTGCAGAGAAGAACAATAAAGATGATTGAGGGACCAGAAGATAAAACATATGAAGAACAGTTGTAGGAGTTGAGGATGTCTAGTCTAATGAAAAGAACTGGGTTGACATGATAGAAGTCTTCCAATATTTGAGGGGTTGTCACAGGAAAGAGGGGGCGACCTATTTTCCAAAGCACCTGAGGTCAAGACAAGAAGCAATAGATAGAAACTAATCAAAGAAGAGATCCAACATAAAAATAAGGAGAAATTTCCTGACAATTAGGACAATCAGTCAGTGGAACAGGTTGCCTTCAGAAGATGTGGGTGCTCCATCACCGGAGACTTTTAAGACGAGATTGGACAACTACTTGTCTGAAATGGTATCAGGTCTCCTGCTTGAGCAGAAGATTGGACTAGAAGATCTCTAAGGTCCCTTCCAACTCTGTTATTCTGTATTCTGTATTTTAATTTTATTCCTATTACTATTGAACTTGAAATGAAAAATATTCAGAAAAGAAGAGTATTTTTAACTCCTACATATCACCGCCTAATTGACAGAGGATGTTCTCAATTGAACCACATGTAAAAGGTGTGAATGTATAATGTCACATTTTCCTACTGCAATGAAGATTGTGAATAAATTGTTTACATTTCTGTCTTCTCTACCTACAATGCTATTCTCGATAATTGCTCAAAGTTAATTTACAAATGGCTGATTTAAGCCACTCACTCACTCTTAGGCCTAGGAAGAAGCAAGCAAACTACTCTTACATATCACCACCTAATTGACAGAGGATGTTCTCAATTGTACCACATGTAAAAGGTGTGAATATGTAATGTCACATTTTCCCATTACAATGAAGATTGTGAATAAATTGTTTACATTTCTGTCTTCTCCACCTCCACCTCTATGATTGCTCAAAGCTAATTTACAACTGGCTGATTTAAGCTAGTCACTCATTCTTAAGCCTAGGAAGAAGCAAGCAAAAATCTTACTTCTAAAATCTTACCAACAAAACTGCAAACTGTCTCCAGACAGTTGCTAGGACTCAACACTGACTCAATGTCACCAAAAATAAATAAATATAAGTTTTAAAGTTACGATTAAGTTAGGTACTGGTAGAAAGTGATGACCAAATCAAGATAACTGAGATCATTATTTTTTTATTTAAGACTTCCTTTTTCTTCAAACTATGTTTATGTTTCCACACCAGTTGAAAAGATCACATATATTCTTGATAATTAACATGCTTGCCTGGTTATTTTACCATGCACAGCAGTCTAGGATAATTTGAAAATTGAACTAGTGAATAGCTGTCAGTGATATGCTCAGTTGTGATGGTAGTTTGCTATACAAAAGGGACTAATGAATATTGTGGTTTTTAAAATTCTGAAAAAGTTATTGTTCAAATGGAGAAAATGTATTGCTTGCGCCAACAATGAATATTGGTTGCATATGGTAGAGAGAAGTCATCAAATTTAAAACAGAGTTGGCTTGACTGTAGAGATAGCAATGATATTCCTAATGGCCATCAGTGTGAAAAATCTGAAGAGGCAGTGCTTATTATGTGTAGTTTACAAATATTGTCCTCTTTCTTTAGAGATTAAAACTTTTTTAAATTTGCAGAGTTTAGATATTTGAATAGTACCTAACTCAGGGATTCATTCCACGGGCCAGATTTTCCATCTGTTTAGGGTGCCTCCTACAAAAAATATTGTTTAAAGCAAAACATTTAATATTACATGTGAGTGCTTTGAAAACAGATTCGCTTCAATTTGCTTAGTTATGTAGACTTTTATTCCATTGGCTTTCATATTGATGTGAATAGAGGCTTGGGGGAATGATTTTAATTGGGACCAGAGTAGATAAGAAAGGTTAAGCTTCCCCTTCCTACTGTCCTAATTGACTCTGTATACATTTTAATGTTAACTACCAATCCAGTTTGTACCAATCTGATTTAGAAGATATTATTAAATTTGCAACTGAATAAACAGAAATTATAATTTCACAAATTTTAAAATGCTACTGCTGGTGGTTCTTCTTCTTTTCTTTTTTATGCTAGCTTTCTGTTCTAATTCTAATGTGTTCTTTTTTCGGGCTGTTCTCCACTTCTTTAATCTAAGGAGCCAGTAAAAAGATCAGGCTTGTTTCTTTCTTCTGAATCTCCTATAAATCCTCACTTTGCTAAATCCAAAGAGACAACTGATAATCTGTCATCTCCATCAAAGAAACAGGTAGGCATTCTTCAGGGGGAAAAACTCCCTTGATTGCTATGATTGTGTGATGCTAGCAATAAGCTCATTAATACACTCCAAAACACTAGAAAGTCATTTTAACACAATGTGAAATATACCAAATGAATGATATAGTACGCAGCAATGATTAACTCCCATCAAAATTCCACACCATTATTCCCTATCCTGGGTGGATATCAGAAAAAGCAAAATAATTTCAAGGATCATTTTAGTATAGAATTGGACAATGGAAATCTAATTTATAATAATCAGATGTGTGCTGTTTGTGGTTATTGAGTAAAGGGAACTTTTGTTCCAAATAAATTATTTGGCTTGTGTTTGTGTGATTAAGTGCCCGTTTGCATGGATACATTCTGATTATTTTAGCCAATTTCAATGCAGATACCTTTTGTTGGAAGAGAGGCCACTGGTTTCCTCTGCAGCGTTTCCCAGTCTCAGGCCATAGCTAAGATGGACTGCACTGTCAGGAAACCCTTGCAGCCTTTGTCTGATGAGCAACCACTGGCCAAGCCCTTGAGATGCATAGAACCAAGTGAGCCGAAGTCTAGAGTCTCTGAAACGCTTGCCTCTTCCTGTCCTGCTGCCCTTGCACTCTCTGGTGTGCTTCAGCGCCTTCAGGATGTGGAGGAAAAAATTAATCAGGTGACGTTCTGTCCTCTATTTCCTCTTCTTTTTCCTTTCTGGTTTCTTCCTGTGCTACTAAAACACATTCAGTCATATAGGACAGTTCTGAACCATGGAATTCCATGAAGCATATTTTTTGTTCCTTTCACAGGATCCCTCATAATTTTATATTTTTTTTTCTACATTGCACTGACATTGCACACACCTTAGATTGGTTAATGAAACTTGGGAGAAACTTGACTAGAAAGTTCCCTTCCTTCTGTCTGGGGGGGGGGGAGAGAGACAGTTGTAAGCTATTAAGCTAAATTGCTTATCAAAGTCTCCATTACTTCTTAAGTCCTGCATGGATATTTGTTAATTTTATTTATCAAACAAAGATTTGGCTCCCTTTTTTTAACCAACAGCCTTCCAGACATCTCAAAGCCAGGCTATGGAAACTGGGGATGCAGTCATGCTATCTAAAAGATTATTGTTCATACGTGGTTCATGGAATGTAATCCCTGGAAAAAAGCTTTTTTTTAAACCACATTACAGTTTTTAAAAGGAAGAGCAGCAAAGCTTATCTGCTGGTGAGATGCACCAGAAAGAAATGCACATTGGGGTGATGTCAGGCACAAAGCTTCCCATAAAGAAGCTCTTTAAATGTCCTAGATAACTTCATGTATACACAACAGTGCTTTGGATTTCTGTGCCCTCTTTGTTACTTAATCTTCTTTTCTCCAAACTGCTACCTTTTGTTCTATTGTTTCTACTTTTTCTTCCTAACTCAAAGTTTTCTTCTCTCCTTACTG